TGGCATGGATAACTTTTTTGATATTTTCCATTTTAATATTTTAGGCATACTTAAAATTTTTAAATTCTTTGAGGTGATTTTGAAATGTTTGAGTTTCATATTAAGAGGTACATTTCAAGTATGGAAGTCATAGGTGTTTCAATGCCACTGAAAAGGCTTGATTGGCAAGTGATGCAATAGACAGTGTTGTCCAATTTCAAGTTGTTTTTCCCTTGTAAACTTAACATATTATTCTTTGATAGACACTGCAGTGTCTCATCTTTTCTATTTTTCAGCCGGACACACAGTATCGTCATTCATGCGTTGAGTATCCACATCAGGCCCGACCTGGTAGGGGATCTGCAGGGACAGGTGGGGCCATGCTCTAATTTTACTATATGTGGCCATGTTAAGATTCTACCTTTGTCTTATTTTTCATTTCTATGCTTATTTTTCCTTCCTCCACGTTTTATTTTGTTATCCTACATCTTTGAAAATCACCTCAAATTCATTTTGGAAGACAGGATATAATAAAAAAAATAGGGCTCTACTGATGAGAGCCAAAAATTTCCGGATTTGTTTTTTCACATGTAAATTAACCTCTCACTGCTCTGGCAAAGTAAACAGTACTTTTTTTTAATCTAAAAAATTTCAGCCAACTAAGTCATTTTCATAACATTCAAACATTGCATTTATGTTATTATGTAGGCAAAATCTATATGGCTTTAGATTAAAATGCTTTGGTCATTTAACCTGCTGGGCCAAGGCAAGACAAAGAAATTCTAAAATGTCAAGATACATCAAGTTTGATTCTACCCCACTTTTTTTATTTCTGAGTTATAGAAACTAAGTTATAGCATCTTCTATTTTCATATTAGTGATGAGAGAATTTAAGGATATCTTAATTCTTCCTGTAATGGTCTTTTCACCATCATCAGGGTCATTCTTATTATGTTGTAGGTGAAATTTAGTAGAAGTACCGGGCAGTTGACATGTTTCCTGTAAATAGGATTACTCAGCAAGTACATTGGAAATTAATCTGCCTCCAACCCTACTCTGTAGTCCAAGTGAATTGTTTTATTCAGTTCTTGTAGCAGTTTCGCAGTCTTTGAATGCTTTCAGTGGATTCTGCTCTTGGATCAGTCCTCATAGAGAAGAAATCCTGACTCTGAGCTAGTTATTACTTTCGACCATGTTTGATGGTCAGGTGTAACTAGCGCAACATTCAGTGAAACAGACATTTTAGTCCTTTTCAATTGGTGGGCTCTTCTCTAAAACTGGGTTATTGCTTTCATGTCTTATTTTTGTTTTTTCATAAAACATGCAAGATTTTTATTGTCTCAGTAAATATATACTTTACTACTTAGTCCCCATCTCCAAATTTAAAGTCCAACTGATTATTAGAGCAAAAAAGCCCTCAGATATGAATTTGAGGTTACCAAATCTAGAATGTCTACTAATGTTACTCTATGATGTCATTTTTGTTGGACAGGTCCTCAGTTACATGTGTCTACAAAATCTCAAAGCAGANAAAACAACAGAGTATCCGCCAAAGATTACATGGGTACTGTTTCTATCTCCACTTACTGTTTTCTTTCAGCATAAATTAACCTGTTCCACTGGACAGTAAACTTTGTACCCAAAGAAGTAACAAATGAATAATTACCCCCAAATCACTGCTCATGTTGTCTGTTACCAATGATCAGTTCAATTATTATAGGATTCTATGAGACTATACATACACAAAAAGCAGCAAATGATTAAAAACATTAAGTCATCACTGGTTTTGGAATACTTATGCTTGTATTAACTTGTTTTAAGTCATTTTTAGGAGATAGTGCTGTCAAAAATCTGAGCTACTCATCAAACAGATGTCACTCCTAAAGCTTTCTCTTTAGATGTCCAATCCCACAGGCAGATAAATAGAAAGGGGTGAGCAACTGAAGACATAAATGTTGACCACTGGTGTAAAGTAACATATGTAATAAATCATAATGCATGTATTTTTTTTCAGATAGGACAGCTCAACTTCATAATGCCTGCTTGATATCAGGTTATGCTGCTTTTCTTCTTAAAGTACTTTTTAGTGGTCATTTTTCCAAATATTAAACTCAATTTGCCAGATTTTCTCTTGCAGTTCTAACACAGTCAATTAAAAACTTTATAGAATCTATTAGTGAGCCAGAAAGATGCAATTCCTTAAAATTTCAGAAACTCTGGCTATTAGTCCAGTATGAACATAGCCTAAGAGCAGACAAG